AGAAGATACTCTTATAAAAGAACTGAATTCATATTTATGTTCGATTCCAACATATGAAACTGCAAATTTTTAAGACTTTTGGTTTTGTATAGATATCACTGAAAACTAAAAGTAATATGGTACAAGATTCTCTTTTGGAAGAACTTTGTTTACATAATAATTAATCGTTGATAATTTGGAACAACAGACATTTGTTTAATAAAAAAGAACTTTAGATTGATATCAGATGACTGTAAACATCTGCATTTATAATATCAATTTCGTTGTTTTAAACCTGTTGACAATTTCGTGTTTATTATTATTCCGGTGAATGATAATCACCCAAGTTCTTTGACCAGTTCCTTAGGTATTTATATTCAAAAGAATTAAGATAATCGGTATTTATTACCTTAAACAGTCATCAATTTAAGTTTGAAGTGTGCTCCAAATCTGATTACCAGGGATGATAAAAATATTTAAAATGAACACAATGGCTGTATTATGTTTTATTGTGTTACATGCTAAACTTGCAGACTTATGTCAAAGTAACCTACTTAGATAAAATTTTGACAAAAATGTACTTTGAATTCAATTGCAATTGATTATCTGCCCCTTGTTTGAATTATTCAAACATTTTTTGATGTCATAATAATTTTAACAATGAATATTTATATGTATTCATTAAATGATGAGATTGTAGTTTTATAATAAAATGTTTGAATAATTTTATTAGATTTGTCTTGATATTTGTTAAACACACAAATCGCACCAAAGGAAATCTGGAATAATGTACAAGGGAAATAATTCTTATCATAAGAAACACTACAAGGGACATAATTCTCATTAGAATCACTACAAGGGACATAATTCATGTAATAAGAAACAGTGCAAGGGACATAATTCTAAATTCAGTCAAGACCCTTTAGCTCATAGCATGGTTTTTGAAGGCACATATAACTGTGGGCAGGGTTAACCAGTTTATGAACTTAATAATTATATAGAACTATATGCAATGTCATAAGTTACCATGAACAACAGATTGTTTACTGTCGATTACGACTTCATTATTAAGAAATGAAAAACAATTTCTAATATTCATTGCTTAATATTAGAAATTATATCTTTGAAACCATGTTGAAAAGGTGTGTTTGCAGCAGTTTTGAAGCTTGATTAAATAGGCAGAAAATTTCAACATATTTATGGTTTGAATTATTAATAATTAATTCAGCAGTCGAAAAGTGGTAACTTGTTACAAGTACAATTCAAAGTTCATAAGTACACCTGGGTCAGGGTTAGTTTTTATATATAGTTTAATAATATATAGGTTTTGAAGTGCAAAAAGATTTGACACTGTAAAGTTTTCCCCAATCACTATACATGTATATATGTTCATATAAATGCATGCACCTGTACAAAGTTTCATGACTGGATGTTTATACTGTGGATTCAGTGTTATTCGTGGGATATTAATTTTTGTGGATTTCTTGGGTGAAAGTAAACGACTTTTTAAAAATTGTAAACTAAGTACAAATTTTCTGTAGGCTTGTATGCAGACTTTGGAAAATCCAAGAAATCAAATATCCATGAAAATACAATTTTTATCCATCCACAAAAATTAGTATCCACGGAAGTAGACGAATCCACAGTATAAAGTTTGAAACTTGTGCACTTTCACAGGCGAAAATAAGAAAAGGTTGGATTCACAGACAATTGTTGAATTTTAACAATTACTGGTACCCTGGACTTGAGTAAAATGCTTGCTTGAGATTGAGGTAACAGTGTTGTGGATCACTCTGAGGCAAACAGTTTTTTTTTTATAAACTTTCCCCCAATAGAAAATGGTCAAATACACATATCATTTTCATGTGACTATGAAGTTGTAAAATATATTGGTAAACATGTTTTCTCAGATGCGAGTACCAGTAATTCTCACTTCTGGGTACTTTCGGTAAGTTTTTCATGAGATTCGATTCTTCTCATAGATTGTTCCTCAGAAGAAAAATGATAAAAAAAATAAATAAATTAGGGAGCTAATCAAGCTTGTGTTGGTATGGAAGTAATGTATCATTCATATGCCATGAATTAAAAAAGTTTCGTGACTTCAGGTTGCTATTTATAACCTCACTAAATGAATAACTCCTACAAAAAAAATAAGAACAGATTCAAAAAGTCACAATAACAGTTGTTCCTTTAAATAACTTTAAAAATAAAATTTAAAATTTTAATTGGTTTCATGCAGTTTGGTGCATCAAAACTTAATTTGAAAAAAAGCATTTAGTCATTAAATAAATACTTATATTATTCGAACAGGAAAAATATATTTAAAAACAAATTTAAAGAACAGGATAGAGTTCTTTAATTAATAAAATCTCTTTATATAACGTCTTATGTCCATTAATTTAAATGTACTCTAACTTTGAAATATAATAAAGTCAATGTTATGATGAAATAAAATTCTCTATCAATTATTAAATCTGTAATAATATTACACAATATGTCAGTGTTACCTGTCAGGTAAAATACAGGTAACCCTGACAGATATTAACGCGGCTCACCTGCTGCGGAATTCCCAAAATTAAACATTTGTTTCAATTGTTCATTGTATAAAGCTTATTCGTACCCAGATAATGTAATAGTACTCAGCGATCTGACAGCTTTATCTGGGACCGTCTTAAAAGGTCACACCTTTCTTTATCAGAAATATCCCCCTAATGTTCCATGCAAATACGGCTAGAAGGACCAGGGTTTATCAGTGACGTGCGTCATCAATATTTTTGTCTTGTCATTTATTGTTCTGGCAAAAGACTGGTCAAGTTGTCTTTTCTAGATTACTTGAAATAGAATATGTAGTCTATTAATTAATAACTTAGAATTACAAATATGCTTAAATCTGTACTATTAAAAAATCACTATATTTTTGCACTGACAACTGGTAATGTTAGCTAAAATTATCTTTAATGGAACAAAATGACCTTACAGTCCTGAAGGAAGTTTAACAGGAATTTCTTAAGATTAAAACTTTAACACAATGTTGAAAAATAGCATTGAAAGTCAAAAATTGACTCAATTGTATTATATTCTTGATGATTCATTGTCATGATAAGATCCAATGAGTTTTAATTTTTCGTTATTCGCAAACAGACCCTGGTTGATAGAAAACTGTAAATTCAGAAATTTCTGTGTTCAATTATTATTGAAATTGTTGAACAAAAATGTGCAAATAGTTTTTAAGATTTCAGAAAATGCTGCATACAAATGATGCTATCAACAATTGAAATATGCTTTTATGTCTGTGAAACCTATTGGTCACAAATTTTGAAATATTTTTAAAAACATTGCAAAAAATTTTGAATTAACACTTTTTGGACAACAGAAACTCAATCAAGCTTACTCTCGCAAAAAGAGGGCAAAAAAAAGTACCAGTACAACTTCATGTCATGATCTGTAATTTCAATGGTATTTTTCACTTTCAGTACATTGTAAGTCTAGCTGTCGCACTGAAAAGTTTGGAATGTAGTTCATGAATATTAGTTTCATTTGATTTCTGGTAAAAGTTACATAATTAACGGTATGTGACCCTTTAAAGATTCGGACAGTAATAGAAATATAAATAAGATTAAGTTTATAAAAGTAATTGCCTTGTTTAAATGCATGTTTTTAAATTGGCCCAATATTGATTTTCAGAAGTACTTTTAATTGCATGTTTCATATCGTGACGAAACTCTTTTGGTGGGCTCATATTGACTCCCAACGTAACGTTAACATCTGTTATTGTTACCGCCCAACTTCTTATATTGCAAAAAGACTGAACAACTTTAACATACTGCCCTGAAGTTAAGGAGGCGTTGAGTTTTAAAAGTTAATAATTTTATTTGTTCATATTTAACATTTGCTGTCCATAAACTACGGTCTATGTAAACAAAACTTTTGTATACCAAAGAAAACTATCCAGGGTAATCTATATAAACATTGACCAATAAATTTACCTGTAAAAGTACATCAAAATGGGTTAGGGATAGCTGTTCTGTCTTAGACGCTATTGATTCATTGATATTTGTGATGGACGAAATTTTCCTGTATTTTCACTGTATTTTTTATAGGCTTGTGTGCAGAATTTGCCAAACATCAGAATACAAATTTTTTCTAAGATGGTACAAGTTTCTTTTTAAAATATTGTTGGCTGTGGGAAATCAAAATTCCTCGGGGGAAGCAATTGTTTTTGGGAGCTTTACCATCAATATATATATCACAAACTTTAACATGGGAATAATATTTACTATTGAATGTATGTTGATATTGAAATTTTACCTTTTTTAAATTTGTAATGAAAGAATGAAAGAAATGTTTATTAATCCCCAAATATGTATTCCAACATATTAAATCCACCTTAGTTTTGTTTGAAATTTCCAATTCTAAAAGTGTTTATATGGAATTAGTGTCATATACAGTCCCTGTTAAGCACCATTCAAGTCTAAGTATCACTTTGTCCAAAGATGTGTAGATGATATGGAACTGGAAAAGATTGAAAGGGATGAGGGTGCATAAAGCTTTGTTTAACCTAATTTATTTTTCTGAAATCTTGAACCAAGTCAGGTAAGGGACTGGAGTTTGAAGAAATTTTTCCAAAAATTAACCAGTTAATATGGACACCGATTTTATACCGCTCCAATTACTAGGGGGGATTATGTTAACTGGTTTATGCATTTGTCCCTGATCAGGTTAAAGTTTTACAAAGAAGTTCTGTTCAAATTAACTTGAAATTAATACACATGTTCATTATGATTTGAACTTTTTATAGGCTTTATAAATTATCTACCAAATTAAAGTTTTGACCTGGATGCATCTTGGTCCACAGAACATTGAAATGTGTGAGTGCGAGCTGGACATGGTGTCCTATGGACACATATTCTTGTTTTTTTTTAAATCTTTAAGTTTAGTGCATTTTTTAATAAATATTTTTTACAAAGCTATATATTTCTTATTCCAAACTTTTGTCAATAACTTATTTTCTTCTATTGCAGGTTCATGCGGTCTGTCTAGTAGCTTAGATGACGAAGTGGGTTTCCCCGCTGATATTAAATTAGAATCGACCAATGACTGCATGCCAGATGAAGACAAAGACTTCAAAGTCTGCGTAGTTTGTGGAGAAAAAGCTAGTGGTTTTTACTTCGGGGCCTTAGTATGCTTGCCCTGCAAAGTAAGTTTTACGGGTATATGAGAAAACTGATCAGTGAATGCAAATATGATTTTGTAAGATATAGAAAATGCGAGAAAAAACTCTAAATGCCAAACTAATCATAAATGCTGTGGCAATTTATTTTTATTTTCATCCGTCTGCCACAAAAATAGGGAAGAAAGAAGAATTTTCAAATTTATTATTTTTTTCTGTTGTTGTTTGCGGAAAAAAAAACCAACTCATTAAGGAAAATGTTTAAAAGTTAAAGCTAGTGATATCAAAATTGCTTAAGATCATTTGGTAAATCTAAGTTCCTAAATTCCTTTTTGCCTCACCAGAGTAGTTTTGATTTCTTGATTTCTTACAGCTAACAATATTTTTAAAAGTGGCTCGTGTCATCTAAACAGACATGACCACTTCTTGTAAAGTGCTGTGCTTGTACTGGAAACTAAGGACAAAAATTGTAAATACTGACTGAGAAGTTTTGAATTTTTAGTTGTTTTTTTTTTGTATTTCGTGTCGCTGTCTGCTCAAATAGAATTAATTATTGATGAGAAAACCAACTGTCGAACATTATCCGTAAGATCTCAAGTGGCTTTTGAAGTTCTTATTTCTCTATTTACTCGAATTCAACAGTAAACAAATATTTACATGTAGGCTATGTCGATATTGAAATTTGACTTTTTAAAAGTTTTTGATGAAAGGAAAATTTTGTTATTTCATCATGCATGTGCAGTTTGCTTCTTAACTATCTCTGTCTAGAATTTATCTATAAAATTAAGAGTTAAAGAATTTAATTCCAAAACACACATAATGCACATGCAGTGGAAATTCTAACAAAAACTCAAAAAAAAGTTTATTGAAAAAGCTTAAAAGTAAACTAGACAACCCTGACAATTCATAAAACCCATGTCTTTTGAATTTTGTAAAGGTTTAAATCTTAGAAACTAAATAAAAGTGTTTGGGTTTAGGTTTTGTCGTCATCAAGACGATCACCAGGTTGACAACAGAGCGTAATGACTTCTCCACGGCAATATCACAATACTAACTTATCATACATGGCTTAACTGTGCAAACCAAACATTCACATATTAAATGTATCCCTCAAAGTATGTAACATATCTAAAATTGATTACAAATTATTGAAAACATCCGAGACGTTTCGATATCAGCGTCCACATTCCAGAGTATAAGTGTTATTTACTTAGATTGTCAGCATTCAAGTTTATTCAAATTATTTAAACTGGAGTATGTTACGATTCTTAAAAATAAAAAAAAATTCACTAAGACTTAAAGTCAAAATTAGATTTATAAACTTCAATTTTATACATATCATTACAGATTGATTGTTGTTTGTTTTAAGTCCAGTGGCAAATATTTCATGCATGTTAAGGACAACATATCATTGAAGGAAACATCCATTGATTTCTGCTTTGTAGGTTGCATTTCTGTAAATATTGACAATGCAATTTCCCATAGGAACTCCTTTTACGGCTAAAACTGTACCACTTTTACTATGAAGTTTTGAACACAATCTTATCCTAGAATTGAAAGTTCATATGCACTACAATTTTTTTCAAAGGTCAAAATATAGGGCTGTGCGGCATATTTTCAACGTTTATATGCCCTGAACTTTTCAGAGTTTAAACTAACACTAATTTTCTTAACTACCCCTACCTCGAATGAAGGGTTACCACAGATTTCAATGTAAACAATATGCACATGTATATTTACTGGTAACATTCCCAAGTTATGTCTCTATGAGATGGAACACAGAGAGCATAACTGGGAACCAGTATGTAAACAAAATTAATTTTCTATGAATATTCTAAATCTCCCCAAAAGAGGCGTGGTTTGAGAAACAGCTGTATTTACAAAGTGCAACCTATACAAACATTTATTCAAATAGAAAACTCTCTAAAATCAGTTTTTCTTACATTAATACTCATTTATCAGAATTATAGCCTGAAAGAAATCACTGTGTATACTCTAAGTTTTTTTTTACTGAACATTTTATACCCCTCCCCTGTTTCAATTTTTAAAAGAATTTGAAAACAAGACTTTAATTATTGCCAGCTTACCCTATTTGCATATTTTCTGATATAAAATGCCTAGAACCTGTTTAAAACTGTTTTGATAACATATTGAAAGCATATCAGAATACTATAAATGTTATGTTTAGCAGTCAATCATTACAACATTCAAGATTATATAAAATATCCAATCCTGCCTCTGTCTCCAGTCCACATCTTACTGTATGCCTATTTGTCAATTAAAGTTCACATTTTCTACCTCAAATGGTCAATTTAGAATTCTTGTCACAACAGTATCATCTGTAACCATATATCTGACACAATTTACCTAATAAATATACTAGAAGTGTTCAAACAAAGCCATATTTGCAATAGTTGTATGTATGCAGATACCAGTCTGAGATATAAATTCACTTAAAATGTTATAGAGATGACTGCTAACATCTAAGTTTTGCATAACTTCCAAGCATAGTTATTGTTTTCTATATCAAGAACTTAAAAATCATAAAATCATAGCATTTACAAGTTAAATTATCTGTTTTATGACCCAGGGGGTAGGCAATTTTCTCTGTTTTTTGCCCCTGGGGCCTCAAATTTCCTAAATTATTCTGCTGTTTCTAGCAATTTGGAATATTTAGTACATATTCAGGATAGAACACACTATTGTAAGTTTTGTTGAGATATTTTTGTATTTCTAGCTTGTATTTTTTATGCCGTGGTGACAAAAAAGCAGATTTAGGTGTTACGGCTTACTTTTGGGTTAATGACAGGACACAAACATCCCATAAATAATATTCAGGAAGGATCGATGAGTTTCAATGACTGCGAAGAGTAAATATAAGCACTTCTTAACAATTTAATTTACAAACATGCAAATATTATGAATTAATTTTGTATTCAGGACTTTAAGTAAACTATGCATACTGTAAACTGTGAATTTATGCTGAGTCATCATATCTAAGGCCCAGGATTCTATCAATCTTCATGAAATATTTATAAAACTTCATATTTGAGTTAATTTCTTTAAAATCTGTGAGATAAAGCAAATTTGGTTAAATTCTGAATGTTTTCTTTTTTCACCCTATATAGGTTGCATTTCTGTAAATATTGACAATGCAATTTCCCATAGGAACTCCTTTTACGGCTAAAACTGTACCACTTTTACTATGAAGTTTTGAACACAATCTTATCCTAGAATTGAAAGTTCATATGCACTACAATTTTTTTCAAAGGTCAAAATATAGGGCTGTGCGGCATATTTTCAACGTTTATATGCCCTGAACTTTTCAGAGTTTAAACTAACACTAATTTTCTTAACTACCCCTACCTCGAATGAAGGGTTACCACAGATTTCAATGTAAACAATATGCACATGTATATTTACTGGTAACATTCCCAAGTTATGTCTCTATGAGATGGAACACAGAGAGCATAACTGGGAACCAGTATGTAAACAAAATTAATTTTCTATGAATATTCTAAATCTCCCCAAAAGAGGCGTGGTTTGAGAAACAGCTGTATTTACAAAGTGCAACCTGTAATTTGTATTCAAGTATTACGATAGAATTTTACGAAAGCAATAGTTTGTTTACTCCTCATAAGTCAGCTGTAGTTGTTGAGTGGCTGAAAGATATGCTGATCTGATGTCTTAGAACGCTGTTTTTTGTTGTTGTATTATATGGGGAAGGGGGTTGTCCTTTTAGAAAAATAAATAAAATTATTGTGTCAACCTCTCAAGATTTAAATAAATTAATTTATTAGTATAACACCGTATCAGTTTATATTGAAAATCAAGAGAACATTATTTTTCTTTGAAAAACCTGATTGTTCTCAAATATTGAATCTTAATATTGCATCAATGAAAGTGCTTACTGATTTTTTGAAACCATATACTGCCACGTAAACTTGATTCTCACTAGTTCTTCATCATATTGGGGTACCTGTCTGAAATTAAAGATGTCAACCATTTCAAAATATATTGTTGTAGGGCAGTATGATAAATAGAACAAAGAAAACTTCTTCTTTGAATTTTTTTATCAAACTCTTATTATATTTTGATAATCTGAAATATTGATACTTAATTTAATCATTATTTTCCTAAAATGGCCTGATGATAGTACTTGATAGAATTTTGATGGCAAATCTGAGAACAAAATGGTTATGTCTATAAAAGGAGATTTGGAATAAACATAACAAGACACCAAAGCAACATAAATTTTTTTAGAAAAAAACACATCTATATGTCAAGAGGCTCCTGACTTACGGCAGCCACATTAAAATACAGCAGTATTATACTAGTCTTTTGAGTACCCAACCCTCTTTTCAACTGTGACAAAAATCATTCTTGCTTGGTACCTAGGTTGATGCAAATAAATATTTGTATATCAGTCAATAAATAGTAATATTGGCCATGAACACTAATAAATTTTCTTCTTTCAAGTTCAGTTATTTTGCAAAAGCTTAATATTTGGTCATGTATTTCAAGTTCAACAAGGGGGTTTAACAAAGATGGTTGTAAAAATTAAAGTTACATGTCAGATAGTAAAAAATAAAAAAAGTTCTGTAAAGTGGTTATTTTTGGTTTAAATTTCACAATTTCCCTAGAGCCATACTTACAGTTTTCTTTTTCTTTTTAATGTCTCTGATCCTAATCCTCAATAAAGATTAAGGCAAAGGGATATTTTTTTCTGCAATTTTATCTTTACCCAGAAATTATTAAAAAAAAAATCCCCCTCCCCTCTCCCCTTTCACCTCTCGCTTTACAGTAACTATAACAAGAGGTGATACTATGTCATGAGCCAAGTGGGTGTTTTGTAAGACAAGTTTTTCCCTTGAGAGTGGGATAAATATAGAATAATTGTATAATGAACAAAACCAATATTAATCCTCGATAAATTCATGCTTGAAAATTATTATTCATATTAATTGTAAAACATACATTGTGAATCACCTAAGTATATCCATTTAAAATTTGTCCTTGGTCTAAGACAAGTTCTGTCGCGTCTCCGAATCAATATAACATTTCATACTAGTTAACTATGGCGTTTTAAAATTGAATATTTTCTATAAAAGACGACTTGAATACGTTGATTAGTATTGGAGCAAACATATACATACAAAGGGTTGAAGAATCTCCATACCAGTATAACTAAGGTTTTAAATTCTAATGGAAAATTCTGACAGCTCGCTCAATAACTTTAATATATATCAAATATTAAACTTGGTTAGAGATAAAAGGTCGTGTAATTTAAGAATAAATTATAATTAATGCAGATAAATAACCTTGCGTTGAATGTTTAATTGAAAGTTGGAATTACCGTAGATTTTCTGTGCTGATAGACTTGTATATAACACTCCTTGGTATTTTGTACACAAAATGTTTTTGAAATTGCTGTCTTTTATCTTTTGACAGTAAACCATGGTTAACATTGATGACATTTGAGGAGGGGTTCAAGGGAAGTTTGAAACCCTTCTTTTTGTGGATTTTTTAAGATAATGTTTTAATTCGTGGCGAAACAAGGACTTTCAAAGGGTCCCGCCAAAAATAGGAGGGCCAGCAGTAAAAGTTAAGAAAAATGTACTGAAAAAAATTGTATTGTTAGCAGAGTCTCCTTTCCATCTTTGTAATTGCATGAAAACCCTTCTTTTTGTGGATTTTTATGCCACCGCCACAGGTGACGGGGGCATTAAGTGTTACCCTTGTCCATCCATCCAATTTTCGTTTGTTTGAAGCTTGAGCGGGGGCATTCGTGTCCTCAGACAATTTCTTCTTTTATTTAAGATAATGTTTTAATTTGTGGTGAACAAGGACTTTCAAAGGATCCTGCCAAAGATAGGAGGGCAAGCAGTAAAAAATTTTAAAAATGTACTGAAAAAAAAATATATTGTCAGCAGAGTCACCTTTCCATCCTTGTAATTACATGAAAAATCCTATTGTAGAACCAATACCCATTCCCCAGCTAACTATTTCATCAGATGAAACCATTGCTGTAACACCACTGAAAAATTTAAATCTGTGTCAGATGCTGTTTTAATTATGACTTAAATTGAAATCAAAGTTGGAAACTTCCAAGTAATTGACCTACTGTTTTATGGAAATCTTGATTAGTTTGTGCCTAAATGCCACTGTTGTCATGTTTGCCGTAATTTGGTAGAAGAAAATTTTCGTAGATTGAATTAATGAATCCCTGATAAGTAATTTGCACACTTTGTAGTCTAACCACTTAGTCATCAGTATGCAGGAAAGCCATGTTAATGACAAATTTACATGCCAAGATATTGTTTGACATAAATCCATTTGTTCATACATGTATTGACTATTTCCTGTGCCATTTGCATTTCAAAGGATAATTGATGTGTTTTAAAAAAAAAATGTAATTTGCAAAAGAAAAAGATAAAAAAAAAAATACCATTTCTTAGAGATTTTTATTGTTTTGAAATTGCCATTGGAGATAGGAATTTTATATGTTACAAAAAAAAAATACACATCAATAAGACAGCAACAGAACAACTTATGTTTTACAAAATGTGACAAAATGAACATCGGTTAATGAAACAAAAAATGTTCTTCAACAGCAAGAGGTATAAGAGAGGTTGACATTTTTTTGCTTTAAGGATGTATGCTACTATGTTTCAAAATAACAAGCTTTTTAAAAGACTGTTATAAATTGTTAGTTTGTAAATAAATGAACTAAAAAAGCGGAAAAAAATGAGGGGTCCGTGTGCTTGTTTTCGAGATATAAGCCATTGAAAATTTGGTGGGAAATGATTCTCTCTAGATTTTTCATACATTTAACATTGGCACCTTTTTTCTTTCAAAAACAATGAAAAAATAACAAGGATTTTATAAGATTTTCAAATATGGCTTTTTAAACTATATGTAATAAAATTATGAAAAGAAAAGTAGGGGTTAGCGGGCAAAATTTTTAATGGCACTACATGGATATAACCAGAGGATTCAGAATATCTGGCAAAAGATCAAAAACAAGAGGAGCGAACATCCTGTTAATATTTTAAAAGAATGACATAGATTCCAGTGCACAATACATGTGTCAAGAATAAACTTTATCCCCATAGAGACAAAAAGTTTGGGAAATCACATGACAAAAAGTTTGGGAAATCACATGACAAAAAGTTTGGGAAATCACATGTGTAAAACATGTGGAAGCAGCTTGACCTAAAAAGGACCTTAACCGCCAAATTTTATGAAAAGGTGGTATTGAATGATAAAGAGATTTAATTTTTTGTAAAATCAAGATAAAATAAAGGAAGGAAGTGAAATAAATCCTGTATTCACAACAACACAAGCCATGTAAACAGGATATGGGGTTATGGTGACAAAAATAGATCAGTGTCATTTGAAACCATTTCTTAAGGTGTTAACTGTAATAATGGTTTTTATTTTTTCAAAAGAATAGTTTCAGGAAAAAGTTATGCAGTTATTAAACTTTAAAAAAAAATTTGGATGATAAAAAAATAACAAAAAGACAAGTAAACTTAAAATAAAAGATAAACAAATAAATCTAAAGGAATAGAAATTGGAAAACAAAAGATTAAATAACCACCTCATTAACATAACATGGGATTGTGTGATATTAAAACATCAATTTTTTCAATTTTTTTCAGGGACATAAACGACATAAAAAAGTAAAACTAAACAAAAGGATTGCAATTTCCACCCCATTAACTTTTAATAAGGTTTATGATATGTAAAATAGATAATGGTTTATATTTGGAAATTTTTAAGGACTGAAAGCGTATTGATAATGTTTATTCATTTTATTGCATAAAATTTAGTTTTTTTTTCCGTCTCAGATGGAGTGTTTGCATCGATCTTTTTCTGAAAGAGTTTTATAAAGAGTAATAGAATAAACTTATTGTATCAGGCTTGTTTTATATACCTGTTTACTTCAGGCTGTTGGAATTGATGGGCTGCTCTCATTGGCTTAATGTTCTCAGTATAGAGAAACACATTGAAAGAATTACAAGCAATTTGAAAAGCCTTTTGAAATTTTACCATAGGGAGTTCAATAGTTTTCTTATGTCCGTAGTTGTTTTGTTAAATAATATTTACATATTTACACATCAATAAATAGCAAATTGAATTTTTCTAAAGAAACTTTTAGATACAATGTGTAATCTTGATGGTATAAAGAAAATGTTAAAGCTTAATATTGATCAGAAAAGTACAATTTTTGTCATAACTACTTAAGAAATATTTTTATTTGTATGATTTAATATTTTTCTTAAATTAATAAATGATCTATAGTAATGTTGTATTGTGTTTTCAGTGCTGTTGTCAATAGGAATTTTATACAAGGAGGTTTTCTTTATTCTAATTTTGAACAAGGAAGTAAAAAACAAATTACAGTATAAATGGATTTTTTTAATCTTTCAAAAGACACTAATAGAAATTTTTATGCAAATTTCTTTTATTTTCTTTATTTAAATTGGGAGAGAATTGACTTTAAAATAATAGACAACCTTGAAAGGCATGTTACTCACATCAACAAGTAGCAGAAATTAATTGGAGGATTGGTGGATGTTCACCACACAAAATTGACCAAACTTTTAACAAATATAACAAAAATTGTATCACTATACTTGGCTTTGTTATGGTTACATGCCCACCCTTACCATCATTCTTGGACAAACACCTGACCTGTTTCAAAATAAATGTCCGAGTCAGTATTTGAGCAATATTAAATCTGTAAAAAAAGTAAATGCATCATTTTTATTTTTTTTCATTTATTGCAGAGCTTTTATATTAGATGTACAAAAGATGGAGAGCCAACTTTTACTTGTCAGTGTAACGGGAACTGTGATATTGCCAAACAAGGAAGAATCCGTTGCCAGTATTGTCGCTATCAACGTTGCCTCATGGCGGGAATGTGCCGCAAAGGTAACTATAAATAAAGTCATGACTTGGTTTGGCAAAAAAAGAGGTGGAAAATACCAAGGGGAGAATCAAAGCTCATAAGTCGAAGAGAGACAGACCAAATTATGGCAAAAAATGAAAAATGATGAAAAAAACAAACAAGTCTACAAAACACTGTAACATAAAAACCACAGACTGTGAACCTCACCTGACCAAAAATGGAGGGTTGATATAGATCTAAAGTTCTCCTTCATGGTTGTTCCTGATAAGGTAAAAATCAGGTTCAGTGGGATGATTTTCTTACTTTATCTTTTTGATTCGGTCTGTATTTCTTTTATAATCACAGCCTATGGGCAAAAGAAGCTAAAAACAATTTTTTCATTGATATAGTACTCACTGTCAGAGTACTAGCTTTCACAATTTTAGATCCAAGATAGGCTGATGCTTTGAGATACTCTTATTGTTTGTTTAACCTCTAATAGCATAATGCGTATAAAGGATAACCGGAATTACCCAAAAAATTTGGAAAGAACAACATAACACATCAACCAACAATAACATAACATAACACATCAACCAACAATAACATAACACATCAACCAACAACAACATAACACATCAACCAACAACAACATAACACATCAACCAACAATAACATAACACATCAACCAAAAATACCTGACACCTCTAAAAAAAAATTTAAAAAATAGGCGAACAAACAGCAAGGAACAACACATGGTCCAGATAGTCTTACTTGCTACAAGCACACTATGCAGTGGGTTTAAACCAGTTCTACTTGTGCACAATCCTCTGGTATTGTACATACCCTGAATATGACAGTATATTTGGTGTAACACATGAAGCAGCTTACGATCAGACTATCGATCAATGAAAAAGCCTACCATTAGTATTATAGTCTGTATCTTGTTGATATTTTCCTGCATCTGTAATAAATTCTGTAATGCAAGTGTGTAGTGTTATCTACATTTGGCAAAGAATTCCACTCAAATTACTGCTAGGGTCTATCTTGAACTGACTGACTTTGAGATGAAGAACAGCAATAAATAAGTTGTCAAATGCTTTAGTTATTTTTTCAAATGTGTGTAGGAATTTTTGTGTCATGAGTTGATACACATTTTCCCTTCATTTCCATGACTACTGTAACTAAGTTGTTGACTTTTCATGAGTTTTAATTGAGCAGAAAATGCAGTGAAACCTGTCAGAAATGTCTTTGGGTATGGCTGAAAAATATTCAGTGTACCACAGATTCATGGGATACTTATTTTGTTTGCTGTAACCTAGGTCTTAGTACAATTACATTATGTATAAAATGAAAAATTAACGCTGAAACTATATCTTTTAAAATCCCACAGGAATGGAGGTATGACAGGTTTACTGTTCTTATAAATGTTAATGTTTGTCCCAATTGATTATTGAGAGTAATTAAGTCAGTGAATAAGGAAGATTAAATGCAAGCTTTAGTAAATTTTTTATAAGGTTGGGCTTTATTTAAGGTACAGCAGTAGAAAAGTTCAGAAAAAGTAGAGCTCTTTTTATTTTTAACAAGAATTATTTTTAGTAGCTAACTATATCATAATATCAGCAAAAATGGTTTTCTGTGACTCATCAAATCATATTATAAATTAAATGAAAATATTTGTACTGGAATGATTTTTAAATTATGTTTACTTAAAGAGTATATTACAAAATGTACATACGAATTGTTCTTACATTTTTAAGTTCATCTTTGAAGTGAAAAACTTAATAGGACTTTAAAAGAAAGTACTAATATGATGGCATCACCTTTGAATATGATTGAGACTTAACCCCTGCTGCCATGGAGGATTTTTTATATTTTTATTTTGCATAGGATATGTCAATAAAATGAATATGCTTACTTAAATGAAACAAAAACTTTGATAATTCTGTAGACAGCAATTTAAAAAAAAAATTCATAATGCATGGCGAAAAAAATTGTTTCATCAAGAAAATTCAGATATACTTTTTATACAACCGCAAACAAATTTTTGTGGTCGTATATTGGTATGACGTTGTCGTCGTTATCCGGCGTCGTCCGAAGACACATTGGTTTTCGCACTCTAACTTGAGTTTAAGTGAATGGATCTCTATGAAATTTTACCACAAGGTTCAATACCACAAAAGGAAGGTTGGGATTGATTTTGGGGGTTATGGTACCAACAGTAAAGGAATTATGGGGCCAAAAAGGGGCCAAAAATAAGCATTTTTGTAACTTCCAGACATAACTTGTGTGTTAGTGTATGGATCTCTCTGACATTGTACCACAAGGTTCCATATCACAAAAGGATTGCTGGGATTGATTTTGGGGGTAATTGCCTCAAAATTTTAGGAATTAGGGGCCAAAAAAGGGGCAACAAACAAGCATTTTTCTAGTTTCAGGACAATTACTTATGTGTAAGTGTATGGATCTTTCTGAAATTGTACTACAAGGTTCCATATCACAAAGGGAAAGCTGGAATTAAGTTTGGGGGTAATTGCCAAAACGTTTAGGAATTGGGGGCCTAAAAGGGGCCAAAAAACACATTTTTCTAGTTTCCAGACAATAACTTGTATTCAAGTGTATGGATCTCTCTGAAATTGTACTGCAAGGTACCATACCACAAAGGGAAGGCTGGGATTGAGTTTGGGGGTGATGAATCATAAGGGGGTTCAAAAAATTTGGGGAGGGATTTTTTTTTTTTTTCCTTTTTTTTCTTTTTTTCCTTTTTTTTTTCTTTTAAAATTTTCCATTTTAAGTTGGTTATTTCTGATTTATATTTAAAAGCAAATAATAATGATATGGTAGGAGATACACACCAAACAGGATGTGTAAATTATTATATAATAAGTATTGTGCAATAGCAAGAAATTTTCAATTGCACAGTATTGCAAAATAGCAAGAAATCTTCAATTGCACAGTATTGCGCAATAGCAAGAAATCTTCAATTGCACAGTATTGCGCAATAGCAAGAAATATCCAATAGCACAATATTGCGCAATAGCAAGAAATTGTCAATTGCACAGTATTGCGCAATAGCAAGAAATATTTAATTGCACAGTATTGTGCAAAAGAAGATACTTCGTATAAATTGCTTATTTCTTGACCAATTTCAATGGGGTTTTATTCTTGAATTCTTGGGGTTCTTTAATATGCTGAATCTAACCGTGTATTTAGTTTTTGGATTTTGGGCCCCGTTTTTAAATTGGTCCACATTGAGGTCCAAAGGGTCCAAAATTAAACTTTGTTTGATTTCATCAAAAATTGAATTATTGGGGTTCTTTGATATGCCGAATCTAACCGTGTATTAAGATTCTTAATTTTTTGGTTCCGTTTTCAAATTGGTCTACATTAAGGTCCAAAGGGTCCAAAATTAAACTTAGTTTGATTTTAACAAAAATTGAATTCTTAGGGTTCTTTGATATGCTGAATCTAAACATGTATTTAGATTTTTGATTATGGGCCCAGTTTTCAAGTTGGTCCAAATCGGGGTCCAAAATTAAACTTTGTTTGATTTCAACAAAAATTTAATATATGGGGTTCTTTGATATGCTGAATCTAACCATGTACCGGTATTTAGATTTTTGATTTTTGGGCCCCGTTATCAACTTTGTCCACATTGAGGTCAAAAGGGTCCAAAATTAAACTTTGTTTGATTTCATCAAAAATTGAATTCTTGGGTTTCTTTGATATGCTGAATCTAACGGTGTATTTAGATTTTGGATATTGGACCATAATAGGTGAATGTCCAATTTAAAATTTTTAAGTTCTTAGACCACATTCATTCTGTGTCAGAAACCTATGCTGTGTCAAATATTTAATCACGATCCAAATGCAAAGCTGTATCAAGCTTGAATGTTGTGTCCATACTTGCCCCAACTGTTCAGGGTTCGACCTCTGCGGTCGTATCAAGCTGCGCCCTGCGGAGCATTTTATTATATTTTACACAATAGTTCCAGTACAGCTATTTCGAAGGCAAAATATTTCAACTGAGATACCACACAGAGGCACTATGAGGTTAAGGTGGAGGTGTTAATAGGTTTTCATTATGAAGGAAAGGGGAGGCTCCAAAATAGTCATTTTATAGGAAAAAGGGTGGCAACATTATGGAGGAAAGGGTTACAAAATCTTCAAAAAAATTTCTTAACTTTTTTTATCGTTGCAAATTTTTCTGCAACTAGTTCCACTGGTTATAGTCACAAATGCAATAAAGTAATGCAAACAGTATTACACAAAGTTGTATTTACTATTCTGTCAATATTTTCTATATTCATGTATACCATTTACTTTTCAGAAAAGCCAGAAACCGTCCAGCCAGCTGAAGGGCAAGTGTTATGTAAAGTTTGTGGTGATATTGCCAATGGAATACATTTTGGAGTGAACACATGTGAAGGTTGCAAGGTGAATATTTGTACTTGAACTTTGACCCTGAGTTCACACATTTTCAAAATGGAGAATGATGTAGTCAACTTCGATAAATCTTATAATGATTATAGTACTGTAGATTTATATGTATTTATCGGGTATTGACTTTCGTCAATTCTATGGGTAAATGTTAAATAAGTATTTAACAAAATAAATATATCCCATACACTGTGCAGAAATCATTAAAATCCAAGAAATGAAGGACCCACCATTACACAATTTGAACTAAATCAACGAAAATGTGTATCCACAAAAATAAGGAAATTAACATTAGGTCAAAGTTTACTTTCACACATGGTATATGGTATACCTATGCATATTGAAACATTAATGCTTATCATAATATAGGGAAAAGGAGATGTGGGGTAAACATTAAAGAGACAGCAACCAAACAATAAGTTAATTGACATTTCAGTTATTATATCTTAAAAGTTTTTCATTCTACTTTCATTAACAAGTAGAAACTGACAGATTTCATGCTTTGGATACAGGTATGTAAAAAGTGTCATTTTGGTAAAATATTTAAATTTTATCAAAAATAACTCAAATGAAAATAAGACGATGTGGTATGATTGCCAATGAGACAATAACCAAACAAAAGGCCACACACAGGATTAGGATGTAAACAACTGCAGGTCACTGTAAGGCCTTCAAAACCATATATTAAGCTGGAAGAGACCAAAGGATGACAAAATGTGAAACAAATCATGTAATATTTAAAATCAGTGAATCCTACATTACTTAACAAATGAGTGGATTGAATGATTTATTATGCTCCACCTAGGGGCATTATGTTTTTCGGTCTGTTTGTCCGTCGGTCTGTCCCGCTTCAGGTTAAAGTTTTTGGTCAAAGTAGTTTTTGATATAGTTGAAGTCCAATCAACTTGAAACTTAGAACACATGTTCCCTATGATATGATATTTCTAATTTTAATGCCAAATTAGAGTTTTGACCCCAATTTCACGGTCCACTGAACATAGAAAATGATAGTGCGAGTGGGGCATTCGTGTACTATGAACATATTCTTGTTTCACACAAATCTAATTTGGGTCCACAGATAAATGAAAAATATACAGCCATTAACAGTCTGGAGTATTTAGAATTGCAAAAATAATAATACTATTGTTTTCTTTACTAGTAAAAGTAAAATAATACTTATTTAATTACAGAAATTTTTCCGAAGAGGACTGGTGGAAAACCAGGGATACAATTGTAAGGGAGAGAAATCATGTCAGATAAACCCAAGAAACAGAAATAATTGCCGTTATTGTCGTTACCAGAAATGTATCAGCGCTGGAATGTCGAGAGAAGGTATAGTAACTGTATAAATGTGGTCAATATGTAGGAGGGGAGATAAGTAAATGTATTCAGTGTTCCACATAAAAAAAAGATCTGTCAATAGCAGAGTAGGGGAGATAAGTCTATGCATGCAAATTCAGTGCTTCCACTTATTTGATAATTGTAAGATATTTCACTAAAAGTGTAACGGAGATAGAAGTTTTTGAAAGCATTGAAGGTGTTTGCTATAGTTTTGTTGATTTACCAGATATTAATTTATGTAGAGGAAGTTACACAATATAGAAGTTTTGAATGCACTCCTGGTAGCTTTGATAGAAGCAAATTAGAATGAAATGATGAACAAAATACCAACTTTTCCTGAGACCATGAAAATCATGATGTTATGAATCGAAATACTGTAAATTCATCAATTATTGCAAGGTTTTTATTAATGTGAATAATGTGACTGTGTGAGTTTCACAATAATTAGAACTCTCTATCGGATTTCTGATACATACATTTGTATGCAGATGTTCCTGAAATCGCAATAATAATTTATCTAGCATTTTTTTCCCTCCTTCAAGAGTTGCAATAATGAATGCACACAATGATTTCTGAATTTATAGTAAATTTTTTATCGTTTCATTTCAGCCATCAAGATGGGTCGGCCAAAAAAGTCAGATGGAGATTCTCCACAACAGTCCCCTTCACATTCACCATCATTTAGTGATCGTCGTAGTCCGGAGTTGTCTCCCCAAGGATCTCCTATCTCCGTCCATACTTCACCACAGCTATCACCTGTCAATGAACCATTGTTTCACAAATATATGATGGCTAACCAGCCTGTGAAGACCGAGACAACATGTCCACCACCAAGTTGTCAGATTCAGTCGGAGATGACCAACAGCAGACCAGTTCTGTCCACAACATCCTTCATGAATCTTAAAACAGAAGAACAGACTACGTATAATTGGGTATCATCTGCCCAAACCTCCTCCTGGCCTGTGTCTTCAAACACCATCATGTCATCCCAATGCCAGCCCGTCCATGCCACGACGACCTCGCATCAGCAGGACAATCCATTACTCATAGAGGACGATATGGATGACATCCTTAATTTCATACAAATGGACCAGGCCAGTCGAAGTCAGCCTCAACCTGTTTTCAGAGATAGTAACTGTTTATATCAGACACCACAGTGTAGTATGGGAAACACACCACTCATGGTCAACACATGCAACAACTTCCAACAGGCATCAGACAATTATCAACAGAATTCAGGACCAAATTCACCATACCAACCACAGTATCCTCAGCCAAACCAAAGTGCATACTACCCCAACTCCCACAGTCCACAGTATTATCAACAGCCTCATTCCCCACAGACAAACTGTCATAGTCCTCACAGTTACAGCACACCATCTCCAGGATCATGCCACAGTCCACACAACTACAACACTCCTTCCCCAGGATGTCACAGTCCAGATACATATCATCCATCTATGGCTGCCGAATATCCTCAACACGGTGGATACACTATGCCGTCCACACAAGGTCACACACAATTCAATCACGGAAACAACATGTCACATGATATGGTCCACATTAACCCTGATTCTCAACATCAAATCAATCAAATGTTTATCAAATGCATCGGATCAATAAACGAAACACCAACTCCAAACAACGGAGCTTACGTCACAAGGGACCAACTTACAACGGAGGTAATCAATTGTACACTTAATTCATCCTCACCTTACAGAAACAATGATTGTTTATATAGTAGTAGTGATGACAGTCACGATTCAACGGATTATCCCGCAAGAAATAAGAGGAAAAATTACGACCATTTTGATCGGTCGTGTGGGTATGGAAATAATACCAACACATATATGCCACAATCTTCAGACTTCACCTGTGAGAGTTACAGTTTACAATCCACTCAGAGCTATTGGAAACAGAAGTTTCCTTTCGATCCAATGAGCAGAATGGCAGAAGAGGACCACGCCGTCATTAAACACATTCTGACTGCATACTCCAATATGAGAGTTTTCTATGACGAATCAAGAGACTGGAATTCTTCAAAACTGGTAGGTTATGTAAACATGTTTACAAATTTGATAATAGCGTTACTGTTATCTGTAATACACATAACTGTTAATTCAGAAATCTTTGCTTGCGTTTATTACTTGTATTGTGATTTTTGAAGAAAGGTCAAAAATGCATGATTAGTTATTGTGATTTCAGTAAATACTTCATACAAATCATTTATCCTAATTTAAATGCCAGTTGTTATTTTTGCCTAATCCATTGCAATTTTTATAATGAAAACATGTCATAAATTTTTGAATTTACATTATATCTGAGCAATGTCTTTAAATATTTTGGACACGACTTTAAACATGAAATTGTATAAATGATCCAAAAAGTGACGGCAGGAAATTGTCTTACTTATAGGATAATGGCATTTTTGTTTTTGATGCTGAGTTTATCAACAAGAATAATAAGCAAGTTAATAAATTACAAAAGGAGAAAAGATAAGGAAAATCAAACTATAGAATGCAATAAAACCAGACTTACTTTTTTCTACACTTACTGCATTTCTTCTAACTTAAACTTGCTTGCCTCAAGTGCAAGATGTCATGTGTTTGAACCCCAGCTGAGTCAAACCAAAGATTTGAAATTTGGTATTTGCAGCTTCTCTGCTAAGCATGCAGCTTTTAGTAGTTAGAGCAAAGAGTGGTCTGCTCTGAGTCAGTTATAAAATAAGTTGAGGATATCCTATTTATAATTGAATAGGGTTTAAAATCTCTGTATTGAGTCTTCAGTTTCACGCTATTTATTAATTTTCAGGATCAAATATTTCTAATAGAACAGTGATCTATTACTTATTATATGACAGTAGCTGTGTTTGCTGGGGCAGAGAAATTAGTCGACAATCATTCAGATCTATATTTTAATTTGTTTCAGGAGGAACATTGGCCAAAAATGGGAAAAGAGAAGGCTCATTGGCAGCACATACAAGAACGTATCATCAGAAATAACAAAGCTTATGTAGACTTCTGTATGCAAATTCCAGGTGATTATATAAATCAATTGTTTATGTTTTATACCCCTACTCCAAAGGAGGGTATTATATCAGTTCGTTTTTTCAGAAACTTTCCAATGGAATGTAACCCAAATTTTAACAGCCCACAGGCCGGCTTCATCTTTCTATTTCTATTTATTTAGATTTAGACTTTAAGAGAATTTCTTCTAGCCTAATTATTTAACATGCTTCGACTTAGGACTATGGTTAATATTGTATTTTTAAGCGGTAGGTTAAACCAAGTTTTATTATGTATGATGCCAAAGCACAGTTGTGTAAATAATAATGTTCCATTATTTGAAACTTCCAAGACAAAAATATATGCACGCCAGAAGTATCAATTGATCTCAAACAAGACATATTAAACAAAAAAAGATTCTACTATTCAACCTGAACAGAGCATGTGTGAACTAAAATACAAATCTAAAAGGACCAATTTTAGAAATTCAAATAGAATTCTCCTTCAAAATATAATTTAGCAGTCTCATGGTGGATCAATTAGAAATTCCAAAAAAGTAACTACATTATGCAACACCATTTCTGAACTTGGCACTTTTGAGAAAAATGTTACATTGGCTGTTATTGTATTTTCTGGTTGAATTTTGGCTGATGCAAAATTTTATATGTAAATTATTTCAAACAAATTCGTGAAATGTTTTGAATATATTTTCAGGGTTTATGCAGCTTGATCATGAAGACAAACAAGACCTTTGTCAGTTGGCCTCTTTCCAAGCTGCTCTAATCTTGTGTTCAACAGAATGGTATAACAAGCAACAGAAGAAGTTCCAGAACTTTTGGAATTTTACAGTGAGCCCTGAGAATCCAATGTATTTGTTCAAACTACATCTTTTACAGGCCGGAGAAGTCATCAACAAGCTAGAACTTTCACCAGTAGAACTTTCCTTGACTTTAGCACTAAGCTGTTTCAGTGCAGGTAAGGGATTATAGATATAAGAAGATGTGGTATGAGTGCCAATGAGACAACTCTCCATCCAAGTCAAAATTTATAAAAGTAAACCATTATAGGTCAAAGTACGGTCTTCAACAAGGAGCCTTGGCTCGCACCGAACAGTACGCTATAAAGGGCCCCAAAAATTACTAGTGTAAAACCATTCAAACGGGAAAACCAACGGTCTAATCTATATAAAAAACGAGAAACACTTATGAACCACATCAACAAACGACAACTACTGAACATCAGATTCCTGACTTAGGACACGTGCAAACAAATGCAGCAGGTTTAAATTTTTTAATGGTACCAAACCTTCACCCTTTTTCTGAAACAATAGTGTAACATCACAACATAGAAAGACACACTATAAAATATCAACTGAAATAGCTTAACTCAATCAAAGGATTATGTAGGTTTATTACCAACAAAAACTGTCCATGTGTATACATATATTCTTGTAACTGTTCAGAATTTTTTTTGGTAGTAAGTAGAACTTTCCTTGACTTAAGAACCAAACTGTTTCGATACAGGTTAGGTTTATCACCACAAAAATTCACAAAAAGGTATATATTTTTAGTTCAGAATCTTTTGCTGGCATTAATTATTGGACAATGGACAAAACTGCAAGATAAGTAACAATAGTTTCAGAAAATGCTGAATCCAAATAATGCTATTTAAATTAAAATCATATTTTTATTTCTGCTAAACACATTCCAATATTACGGTACACAATATTCAGAGTAATGAAAACATCACAAAATTTCATAATTTACAATACATTTTTTCCTGTGGTCAGATTTGGTTACATAATCGCCAATTCGCTTCATAATGAACATGTGACCACAAGCTACATTAAAACAAAACTTAAACCTGATATAAATATTAACCGACGTACACATAGATTAGTATCATTTGACAGGGCATACAAATTTATAGTAATACATAGACAAACTGTCTTTTAACCTAATTTGTTTTTTTATATATTTCAGATTTGATGTTCTTGAAAGATCCAGAATCAGTCGAATCAGTCAGACGACACCTAATCTACCTTCTCCAGCAACATATCGCTGGTAAGTACTGTGAAAATACTTTCATTGGTTAATGTACATTTTCCATTCCTTAAATTTATGGTTTCTTGTGGTAGCCACACTTTGGTTAAAAAATACTGTGGGCACAAATGTGCATGCATTGAGGAAAGCTTGCATGAAGTCTTGATTTAACCATGAAATTCACAAACATTTGGTATCAGATCCGGGGTCTTTAAAACATTATTTGGCTTCTATGTCTGAAATCAAATAAATTCTATGAAATTTTATAAATGTGGAGCATTCAATTCAACAGTTTTGTGAGAAATTTTTTTTTTTTAAAATCATTTAACATTGGTTTTTTATGCCCCCTCCGCCGCAGCTGAGGTTACACTTGTCCCTCTGTACATCCATCTGCCCATACGTCTCAAAATTTATTTCTGTTCTCTAACTTTAGATTGCCTCAACCAAATGTTATGAAACTTATACACAATGATTATTACCACAAAACACAGATCAAGTTTGAATTTGGGTGGCGTCACTTTTACCGTTCTAGAGTTATGCCCCTTTATAACGTTATATGCAAGCGGGTGCATCATCTGTGTCCCATAGACACATTCTCCATTTATTTTTAATACTTTACATAGGGATTTCAAATATTATAAACACACATTATTAGTAATGCTGAATAATACAAGGCCTAGCAATCAAGAAGGAATTCAAGCAAGATGTGAATGGGATAAAGAAAAATAGTTCACAAGAATGATCTTAACTCTTAGATATTTCTACAAGTCTGAATAAAAGTATCGGCAAAACTCTGAAAATAAGAGATGACCAGTTTTCAAATGAAGGCTAAATAATTGTGATGTAAAGTTATTTGTGATCTTATTTCTTTCAGAACAAGGTATAAACCCTGATGAAAGACTAGCTGCTATTTTCAACATCATGCCGATGACTAGACACATAAGCATGTGGCATAAACAATTAATGAAGAATATGAGAGTCAACATGGAGTTGGGGGCTGTGTCAAAACAGGTTGAGGGGATTTCAATTTAAAGAAAACCTCACTGAATCTTTACACACATTCCAAATTCTTGTTTGTAAACTTATGAGTTGTTTTGTTTTTGTTTTGTTTTTTTTTCCCTTACTAATGTGCAATTATCACAACAAGGGGGACAACCCTAATGATACATGGAAAACTAATTTTTATGTCCCAATAACTGCCATGTTGCTTGAATTCAACGAATATTTTTGATGACAAAGGCTCAAATATTGAGTATTATTTTAGGGAATGTTATTGTTTTATTGTTATATTAAGTGACCTTTGCATTTAATGCTTAATTTTAAATCTATATATGACCCACTTCACTTGGTTTTTGAGTGAAGTAAAATTATTTAGTCACATGACAAATCTCCGTTTTTTAACGAAGAGACTTCATTATATCTTTTATATTTATTGCACGATTTGTTATACAGATGAAGTATTTTTTTACTACATGTTATGACGGTGAAAGAATATTTTATTTTTTGTTGTTTATATTGAATTATATTTATTTTTGTTTTTATTTTGGGGACCAGGTTGTTTCTTTTTGGGTTCAATTTCTCTATTGGGTTATTGAGGGTTTTCTTTTCTTTTCCTTTGGAATTTTTATTTTAATTGAAATTGAGGAATAAAGGAATTATTTAAATTATTTAAAGGGAAATTTATAAATACGTTTTAAGTTTTCTTTTTAATTTTTAATTTTTTGGGGGGAGGAGGGAAAAAGGAGGTTGATAAAGAATTGTATTATTAAAATATCAGAAACTGTTAAGATTGAACCTTTTTCTTTTTATTCTTTTGCTCCTTTATTTTTATCATTTTCTGTCTTTACTTTTTTTCTTTTTATTTCTCTTAACTAGACAATCAAATATTAATGAAATGGGAAATTTTATTCAATTTTGGTAGCTTTTCTAAATTTGTTGTTTTTCTTGTGTGTCTTAATGTTTCTGATATTTTTTTTTTTTTTTTATTGTATTCTTAAATTACGATTGATTATTGTTTAAAACATAGATAACAGCGCTAATGTTTTCGTCCATTATTGAGATGGAAGTACAAGATAATTGAAATTGAATGCTGAAAATGCTCAAATTACAATTTTACCATCCACACAGAAGAGATTACTGCAATTATTGCTTGAAATGGACATTATACAAATAAATTCAAAGTGTATATCATCATTTAGACAACAGTGAAAAATTTTGTATGTTTTTTTTTTTTGGTGAAAGATTGATTGTTTTATATTAAAATTTTATGAATATAATGTTAAATGGAATAAAGCATTGTTGAAGTAAAGTTAGATAAATTACAATTATAAAAGTTGATTTGAAAATTGACAATATCTTTATGAAAATTGAATCGAGTCAAAAACATCTTGACTTGGAAGAACAAATATACTGATTTTATTAGTAAAACAAACAAAGCTAATAAAAAGATCTATATTTTTGTCTTCATAAGAGTTTGCCAATATCTTTTCATATTAGTAATGGCACATTCCCACTATATGTTGATGAAAGAAATCCATGTTTTTATAAAAAATATTTCATTATAACATGTTTTGATTTTGTTTATACTTCTGTGAAATGTGAAATGTTGGCTTACTCTTATAAAATAAATGACTTTTATTAGATGGATACAAAGTTTAAAAACCCAAAAATAAATTATGTTAAACTCGTCCTTTGGCCTCTGTAAGTATGATATATTTGGTTAATAATTCTTAGTATCCACCTCATCAAAAGTCATTAATTATATTATTATGTGGCTGATGCACACTTAGTGCTAGATGACAAAACTGTTCCCGTTATAAATTTATACAAGACCAATCCTGAATTTTAGTCACAAGTTTTGTGGTGACAGGAATTCAGAATGAGAATATTTGGTTATTTACAATAAAATTGGAAAATACTGTGACTATACTAGCTTAATTGAGAAAAGATGAGTTTTCATATTTTTTTATTCCAGTTTTGAAGCTGAATTTTTTTCCTTTGCTTTTTTCTGTCCATACCCAATTAGAGGCAGGAGGTGATAAGGGAGAAATATCTTAACCGACTGAATCATTTTCATTACACATATTGGTGTAACAGCTTTAATTGTCTATCCTGAACAAATTAGTGAAGGGAGATAACTATTTTTCCAAGCTTAAATTATCTCCCTTACTCTACATGGTTAAGGAGCCAAACCTTTTAATTTACCAACAAATTATGTGAACATGATTGTGTTGCCTTTTGGGAATAGTTTTGTCACTAGTTTTTATATATATATTTTATTGTTTTGTTTTTGCTCATACTATGTACATTCCGTGTCATATATCATTTGTAACCGTCCAGTGTTGAACTCAGGACCCATGTTGAAAGTGCTAACTGTATATAAAATTATCATATTCCAAAAAAATTAGTACCATACATAGACTTATATCTCCCAACATTTGTATATTATTGAATTAATTGGCACTTTAGGGGGATTATCAACTGCAGCAAATAAATTTAGATCTTCATTCAGCATAATAAACATTTTCTCTGCCTTTCAGAATCTGTAAAACAATTTCATGGTTTTTTTTTAGTTAAAGACAAAAAAGTATGGATTTGTAGAAGAAATCCTTGTAAAATTACATATTATGAAAGAAAAAAGGACGAAAAAAATACACATATTTTTACTCATTTCATTTTTGTTAAAAGTTTCGTTACTCTATTATATTTATTACAAATAAATTGCTCAATTCACATATCCAATGGTTATTACATTTTTATTGTTATTAAATTCATCTGTGATTATGTTAAATATTGGCCTTGAATTGTTACCAGTTTCCCCTACTGTTCGGACAGAATCAAATCATAGAATCCTGCTACAAACCATTGTAAAATAAACTTCTTTTTCCTAAAGGGGAGGGATTTTAATTCAGGGAGATAACCCTTTAGATCAGGGAAGTGTTTATAATAGTCAGTTTCATCAATGCTTTTAAGCATTCATGTGAAGCAGAATTAAAATAATCTTTTTTATTTAGAAGCTTAGTATGTATTTATGAAAATGGCTAACACAAACATACCAGTGATTTTTAAAGAGTTATGGCCCTTTACTGATGTCTTCCCTTAAATTTCACTAGACTGTTACATTGTCTATACTTGTAACTATGAAGATGATGCTAGAAAGGAAATGATTAAGATATCTATAAAAGTACACAACATAGACAATCTTGCCTGTCATTTTATGGTCAAGAATTGCCCAATTTAAACTTATGCAGGAATGAAATATAGCATCATTTTCAGATTCGTTTCTAAATAATAATATTTGTTTTTACAATGGCACTTATTCCATGAGTTTTGTCTGTGTTTTTTGCATTTACTCCATGGTTTAAACATTCCTATATTTTTCTTAATTCAATTTTTGTCATCTTATATGTTAGTAAAAGCATAATGGTAAAAAATATGGATGCTAATGAAAAGGTTTAAATTCCTCTTTTTTTAAGGTATTATCTAAAATTTATTTTCAACAAACTTACAAGTATATACTTAATTCATATCCTAAAGCCAGTAAGGATAAATATAAAAGACAAAATTGACAATTTTGAATTTATAATATTTGTAATTTGATGTATTCACAATCATGTTCAAAACTTAAGTTTAATAATTAATTTTGCATGCATGGGTCAAATAGTTCCAAAATTTTATCTTTGAAATGCACAGAAGTATTATTTTATCATGCATGTTTTACAATCAAACTCGTAAAATTAATTCTAATGAGTGTTTATTTATGTATGAAAAATCATTTATTCACATGTATATATTTATATTTATATTTGTACTATGACATTGAATTGTGACATCTTGTATATTTCTCATGTATGTAAACATATACATGTATACAAAGTATGTATTGAATTCTAAACAAAAACATTTTCAAAAGAGGAAACACAGATAATTTAGTGATAAAAAAATGATTTAGTGCAAAGCCAATGATCTATGTTACTATTATATATTTCCTTGGTGCAAAGCATACTAAATATTGTTTATTGATTATTTGTTAAAATTTCAATTATAAGTTTGACCCCCTGGTGGTCAAGGTCAACTTTTGATCTTTAGAATTCACAACATACATATACGCTTGCTTGTGTATACTGTACCACTGTAAATATCATTGTATTTGTCTTAGAGACAAAGTGGGTATATTACCCTCTTAAGTAGGTAGTTCCTGTATGCCCTTCATATGCATATATACATATATATATATATATACAGTATCAGGCCCTACCCCAATTTTTAGTCAACCATTCAGAAATGTTGACACTTGCTTGGCTTATATTTAGAAATCACTTTACCCGTCCTTTGTTTTGTATTACCGGTTAATCCCAGTTGTGTCAATAGCAAGCTAGAAATTTCGTTTGTTTGAATTGTTTTTTTTTTGGGGGGGGTATTTTGTCTTTTAACTTGCAGAGGTGTGTCTGTCAAAGAATATTGGTCATTTCACACATACATTAAAACAATATCAGAGGTAAACATGTTTTAAAGGTAAATTATATTCAAAGTCCTATCATTTTATGGGTCTGGTATGTATTCTTACATTCAGGGGGAAACAAACAGAATTTGATGTATTTTATATTTTTAATCATCTGTTTATCAATTAGGCTATATCAATATAGATGGCCTATTCCAAATTAATATTGTCAATATATTTCTATTTGGCTTTCAATTGACAAGAAATTGTAAAAAGTTGGATTTTGGTTATAAACAATGAGTCTTTTAATTTGATGAATTCAAGATTTTATTTGAAATATGGGTTATACAAAATAGTATGGATTTTTTTAAGAAGCGTTTATGTAGATGCTTATTTCTTATCTCAATAGGTCTTTATCATGTAACATTTGCTTGAAAAGTTGAATCAGATCATCTGAAACTGCTTTAGATTTGAATACAGTCCCACTAGTGATACAAAGGGAACAATAGTGCCTCACAATTTTCATTATTTATTTTTTTATTTTACTCAATATGAAACACTGACAAAAGATTTAACTTACACACATTCAGTATCTTTATATATTTAAAAGATGAGATATACATTTGTTAGTAGTGTACCTTTAGTTTACCAAGTCACCTAGGGAAGAAAATTCGATTTTTTTTTTTTATTTAAAGGGAGACAATTTATTATCTGCCTTTGGTTAAGGGTAGATAACTGACTAGTACAACTTTAAATTTTGAAGTCCACTTTAAAAAAATATTAAATCTATAAAACCTGATATAATGATGACTATTTTTTTATAATTTGTTAAATATTAATGTGATATTTTCTGATGTTCTGACTCTCACAATATTGCTTGCTGTAGTAAATTGTCATGCATCATAAGTGATTTTTTGCCTAGAAAGAAGATGTGATTGTATTTTGAAGTTTGTTCTAATACAGTTTTATAGGCAGAATTGTCTTTCTTATTTAAGCCTTAATCGAAATTTCCTGTCATGTTTTTGTACACATCTCTTCCAAGTGGCCATGGCAGAGATAGTTTACCCTTTTTTTGGCCCCACCAAAATTCAGCAGTTTTCCACACTGGATTGTTGTTCTTGAAAATATTGAATTGGCTTATGGTTTGTAGTTGCAAAGTGATGACATACAGATGAGTTGAGTTTTGTTCTTCATTACTGTTACGCTATTTTTTATTAAAAGAAGATGTTGGGTAAACATCAAAGAGACAGAAACCTTACAACAAAAATAACCAAGACATACAGAAAGCAAAATACAGTCTTCCACAATAGGCAGTTGTCTGTCTACCAGTAAATAACATACCAAGCTCTAAATTGTCCGTTCTTAAAAAGTTGTGAATGAGTTTAACGAAAAACAATTTAACATACTTTAGACCCCTAAACTCAAAAAAAAATAATGAAAATTGCTTTTTTACCACAAGTTTGAACTGTTTCTCAAGGTTATCTGATTTTTGGCATGTAGCTGCAAAGATGAAATTTCAGTTTGATCTGTTTGAAGGTAAAATAAATAAAAGAATTGTTGAATATATGTTAATTATACAGCAGCCCAATGACACAGAAAAAACAAAGGTCAACTTAAAGGTCTTTAACAATAGACAGGTAACAATACCTTATACAAGCTGTGAATTGCCCATTTGTATAAAAAAAGTTGTGAATAAATGTAATAATATAAACGGTACCAATTTTGCTGCACCAGATGCGCATTTCGACAATCAATGTCTCTTCAGTGATGCTCAAGGCCAAAATATTTGAAAATCCAAAGCTTATTAAAAAGATGAGAGCTATAAAAAAGACAAAAAAGTAAAGCCAAAGCCAAGCAAGGGATTAGAGACTTTCAAACCATAGGCATCAATTTACCAAAGGCAAAAAAATTAAGATACATGATGATGGGATCATCAAAGACAATCTATGAAGAGTTTTGGGGAGAGTTGAGTGCTCACAAATATGTTTAACCTCGCCACATTCTATATATGCCTGTCCAAAGTCAGGAGTCTGTTATTCTATGGTTGTTTGTTGCTTGTTGTCTGTCATAATTGGTTTTTTTTTTTCTTTTCTCATGATGACTTAATGAACTTTTTTATTACCTGGTTGAAAGCATTCATGAATGAATAAAAGGAAATGTGAGGTATACACCAATGAGACATCAACCAATGACTCAATATCAGTTTAAACAGGCTGTCCCACAATGATGGTGAAGTTGGATTTATAACTTAAACCCAGCCTCCACTAACCCCACATGATGAAGTGGTTTGCTGTATATGAAAACAACAGATGACCAAATATTTTAATATCATTATCATTATTTAGACATATACCAGTAGTTCTTACTTAAAATGGGCTCGTATATATCTTCAGTGCACATGCATATGGTATTCAAGTGAAACATGGCTTTTGTTTGCATTTTTTCACATTGATTATTGTGATAGTGAGGGATAGGATAAGAGTCACTTTTTCTGGTGAATATTTCTTAGTAAATGTGGTGAAAAGCTAAAAGTTACTTTTTGTAATGATTTCTTCACAGTTTATTTTGGTCATTGTGAGTGAAAATACAAGCTTAAAATCACTAGTGAGTTATTTCATTGTGAATCAGGTAGATTTAAGGAGCCCCCCCTACCCTCATTTATGGAGCTACATTTATGGTTAATGCAGACATTTTACACTTCCACTCCAAATGTTGCCTAGTTTGGGGGACCCTGGTCCAACCCCCTCCCTTTTCCCCCTCTTTTCAAAATCCTGGTTCTGCATCTGTGAATATTTGTGGTCAGGTTGATTACCTCTAAACTGCTTTGATACTGCATTGAGACTGTTATCAGCAAAAATCACCAGCAATCAACCCGTCTGTGACTAGTTGACATCCAGTGGCGAATATTTCACGCATATACGACTTTCTACCGCATCTATACTGCAATGAGACAACAAGAGTGTCAATGTTGATCCTTTCAAAATATTAGATACAATATCTTCTTATCTGAGGTGAAGTTACCCATATAACCCCAACAAATTGCGATCTCCAACCACAAAACTACAAATCTTATATGGCACGGAAGATAAACGTCTTTCGAGATACAACAGACAAAATTTTTGACATCTCATTTCATGAAAAATGGACCCCCTGCGATATTTGCCAGGTATATGGAGATATATTATCTCTAGGTAATTGTAGCTATGAGATGATTGTTAAAAAAACTACAGTGTTACTGCGTTAATCTGTTACCATCTGTTTTGTACACTTTTGACCATATGGTATAGTTTATCATTTCCAGTGTGCACGGAGGAGAACGCAGGTGTGAAGGTATGTAACCGCTAGATTGATCATTTATTGACTCATGTTATTAATTAATTAATTATCAATTAATGTGATTATTTTTCTTAAGTCAATTGATGCCGTTCTGCATGTTCTAAATAGATATAACACTTCCATGTTGTATACAGTAAACTATGTTTCGATTCAGTTTTTATATACATTGATTTCTAGTTTATTATTATTTATTCATATCATTCAGCAAATATAATCAAAATCTTTTTTTAAGTTTGATTAGCCGTATAGGTAGTTGCATGTCTATTGCATAATCGTAATTTGTTTTTATTATAAATATATGCTCCTATACATTGTTTGATAATCCGAGTTTTTCTTAACATCTGAATTCAATCAACACTCACCAGCCGATATTTCATCGAAATTAAAGGTGAACAAAAGAAAGGAGGTTTAATTTAAAAACAAATGTCTATAATCGTTTTCCTCTACCTCTGTCGGGATTTTAACTCCGTGTACACTGACGAGGCTGAACGAGCATTATAGGGCCGCTGCGTCAAATGCCAATTCCGGGAAAACATCAGTTGGTGGGTTTTGTCAACACCGCCCCGCTTCTCAGAATGTGCCGCCGCCCGCAATGTCAACGAGCGGATCACAAACTTAACAATAATACAACGTAACTGTGACGAGCCGAGTGTGAGTTGTCGCGGGTCCGTTTGTCAAAGAGACGAGTATTAACAAATATTTATGTCATGCGTAGCGAGTTAGAAAAATTGTTTTCCGATAAAAAAAAAAAAAAAAAAAAAAAAAAAAACATATGCTTTTCATAAACATTTACTTGCATAACAAGTTGGTGGAAAATCCATTATTTTTTCACATATCAAGTTTATTTTCATTGATTATGAACGCCTTCTTGAAATCGCCCCACACCAACACCCTAATATAGAATGTAGTTATATGTATATTTTTAATAAAAAAAGATTCCATATAATTTAAGGAGTACTAACCCCAAAATGTAATTTAGATAAGCACTTCAACCGAAACCCGATGTTCGGGAGTGGGTTTACGGGTACCTTATCCTTACTTACATTTTCGGGTACTAGTGCCGTCTACGATATTCGGTCTGTGGTGGATAGTTGTCTACTTGACAATCATACCACATATATATCCTTAGTTTATATTATCTGCTAGTAAAATGGTTAAAAATTCTCTCTCCCTATGAAACAGAAACCCCGACAGAAATAGCCTCTTATATAAAAAAAAGTGTCTTATTACACCCATAAAAAATGTTGGTTAACCGTTGCAACAGGGGCGACAACATAGCTTGAGTCTGAGCCCTCAGTCAAAATAAAATTTGGATTTTATATTTTTCGAATAAAAACATATCAGGTTATGATTAAATTTGCATATACAATGTGTGGTTTTTATATATAAAAAAGTGTGTGTGGACATTCGACGTGTGTTCTCCATCGTCACGTTGACACCAGTGATCGTGTTTTAGAAATGTTTCGTGTTTTAGAATTGTTTTGTCACGCTCTGAAGGTTTTTTTGTTGACCACCGTTTCGACCGTCCGTCCCATGAAATGTTCTTCGTATTATTTTTCTCAGGAACTACAAATCCGAGCCTGTTTACCGAATACTTAGAGCGGCTATTGTTCCTTAATACATCCTTTTGTTCATATACTATTTCTCACAATGTGTTCCATTTAAAAAGGATATATATATAAAACCATCCAGAGCCCATTTTATATAAGAGTCTGAGAAATTCCAAGTGTTTGTTTTCTGTGAAGGCTCATCCTATTTTTTGTACCCCCACGTTCTTTTTTTAAATACGGTATAACCAATCGCTATACTTTTACATGCAGTTATCTCAAAAAGAATTCTTCAACAGTATATTTGTTTTAATTCAAATTGCCTATATAGTTATTGCATGGGGAAACTTTTGAAAAGGTTTATGACCAACGACTAGACAAACAGCCTTCTGCCAATACCTCATGCTAATCCATATAACAAACAGTTAAAGAAACGAGACGAGAAACTACAAAACTGTTTTATAATAAGAAATTTATTAACACCAACGAAAAACAATCAGTGGAGTTAAAGACCGCGCACATAATCTGTCATGTTCTGAGAAGTTTAGTGCATAGAGCCCCGGCTTTTTATCTTTTCCTTTTTTTAGGGGGGAGGAGGGTGGTGAATACGAATAAAAGCAAGAATACATTGAATAGATGAAATAAGTTTTAAAAATCGAAGAATATTTACTTTACAAAAATTAAACAAAGACAAAAAAGGGGGTGGGTACATGCACCAAGCAACTGCATTTCTGGTAATAGAAGTTTTATGCCTGCGTTACTATGCATCTTTCTTAACAGGATTATTAAACTGCTGTTGATCGCACCCTGACCTTATACCCGGCTTTGTGCAATCACGAACGCAAACAGACTCTTTCCGATTGCCAGTGCGTGAATGTTTTGAGCCAGCTTCACAGTGACATGACGATTTTCAATGTAATTGCAGTCTCAACTAAAAAAAAAACAAAAGAATCGTTTAAAAACACAACAATCTTGAAACAAGATTAAAGGTTGCCTGGTCCGTAAGGAGATTTAATAGAAACCGGTTTTTTGTAACACAAACTTTGGTGTATATATTAGCCTGTTTCAAGAAAGGGAACTCTTATTTTTTTTTAAATTATACAGTCTATTGAAATCATTGGCGTTCGTGTCACAGCAGTTGGTGTCTTTTGTGAAATTTTCTTCACAAATCGAGCGATTTATAGCTTGATATATGCGGCATGGTTGTCTGTTCATTGTTGAAGGCTATATACTGTCCTCTATAGATGTTCATTTTTAATTACAGTCAACTGTTAACGAAATGAAATGAATCATACCACATCTTCTAATTTATAAATATCATAATATTGATGGTACCAATTCAACGGTACCAGGTCTGATACTGCTATAACACAGTATGGTAGTCTCAGACCAGATGCGCTTTTCGACAATTAATGCCTGATCAGTGATGATAGAGGACAACATATTTGAAAAGCCCTAACATGATACAAACGTTGAGGAGCTGATCAAACCAAATATGAAATATAGTATAGCCAAATCAGGAGATGGAATCAGAGACGGAGATATACTCCTTTATAAGAAATAATTTCAAAGTTCGATATCATCTCAATCAAACGATATCCGTATTTTAAAGTATCGAAGTGTTGGCTACTGGGCTGATGATAGCTATGGGTATTGATAGCCGTATTCGTTCATTCGATTTCAATGAAGTGAGCCTCTAGTTTTCTTCCTTTGATACTGTTTTATCGTGAGATCAGTCATGATTACCGAACCCCGAATGATCTTCATCCATATTATCACACAGGGGATTTTTTCAATACAAATAACCTGATTTATCAAGTGAAGATAAAAATATCATTAGATGTAATATTTTTGAAAGACCAATAATTACGAGAGGAGGTAAAGTAAGCAATAAAGATGAAAATTAACCATAAAATTATTGATACAAACGAGGCTTACATCTGGATACAACATTAAGGTAATAATTTGTAATATAAAAGTAAAAAGGTGAGTTATCATACTGTTACAAGACAGCGTGAAGTTTTATGTAAAGAGACTGGCAGCTGCCTTTGTCAATTGTGTTTTGGAGTCGATTATTATCTCAGATGTTAAACAATGTTCTTTAAGAAACACCGCTCCTTTAGACCTCCTTTAAAGCCTTTTTATATCATGTTCTTGATAAACTTCGTTAAAATTACTTTTAGAGTAAACATTGACTGAATGCGCGCGCGCGAGTGCGATGAAGGTGATCGTCTGCAAACCGTCTTTTGACGATTTGCAAGATCGAGGACTGCATTGCACTCTCTGGTAATGAGTTATTTAGGTATAATTACCGATAGTTGATTGATATGCTTTCTGTAACAGCAATTGTTCGCAGTATTTTTCCCCTCATTTACCACCGCCTGAAACACTTGTGATGAAGCGGATTCTCTGATTAATTCCATACAACAGACGTTGCACCAGTCAACCATTAAACTACAGTTTTTGTTCAATTTAAAATTAAACCTATCATCTAAAACAGGAAGATCAGTAACTTGAATTAGAAACAAAAAATCTTTGCGGCTCCGTGATTCATGACAAGTCTTTTGAAAATGGACCGGTAACTTTTTGTTTTGACAAATCTAGCCAAGGGAGGCTCTTAGTAGTATGTATGATTCACTCATAGGGTCTTTGCATCGGAAATAAACACATTTTATTCTAAAACCAGTTGTTGGCATGATACGGGTTATTTTCTTCTCATATATTTTATGATGGTACGATACTAAACCCCTAACGGGAGGGATTGCACTTGATTTTCATATGATGAAGACATAATCTTTCAATCAGTTTAATTGAGGTATGGAGCTGGCATGTCAGTAACTGCTAGTAGTCCTTTGTTCATTTATGTATCATTGTCATTTTGCTTAGTTTCTTTTGTTACCTATTCTGACATCGGACTCGGACTTCTTTTAAACTGAGTTTTACTGTGCGTATTGCTATGTGTTTCTTTATTTTACATTGGCTAGAGGTATAGGGGGAGGGTTGAGATCTCACAAAACATGTTTAACCCCGCCGCTTGTTTGCGCCTGTCCCAAGTCAGGAGCCTCTGGCCTTTGTTAGTCTAGTATGTTTTTTAATCTTAGTTCATTTACATATTTTGGAGTTTAGTGTGACGTCCATTTTTACTGAACTAGCACACAATTTTATTTAGGGGCCAGCTGGGGACCACCTCCGGGTGCGGGATTTTCTCGCTGCATTGAAGACCCATTGGTGGCCTTCGGCTGTTGTCTGTTCTTTGGTCGGGTTGTTGTCTCTTTGACATATTCCTCATTTCCATTCTCAATTTTATTCCCTAAAATTTACCAAAAATGCGAAACATGCGAAGGTGCCACGGTATTTTTTTGTCTTGCCATTTCAACGTTGGTCATTTTTATCAAGATTTCATCGATTGAATCGTCAAGTGTCGTAGGAGTAGATTGAAAAGTGTGT